CTATATAGACTGAGGTTTTGCACATAAGTTATATGTAGTAGCACTCCATTGCGTGCTCTCAATAAATCAGAATGATATCTGGTCTGAATTATATTTTGAAGACTCAAAACCTCACTTTTGAGCCATACTACCTTCTGCTTAATGATTTTATGATACTAATAGTTTGCCAAACAAACAAAATTATTGACAGGCAGACTGCTCCTTAAAACCAAAACCCATAATCGATGTATGTATACTTAATATATCCTTAAATCAGTCAATATGTGTAAAATTAATAGCCTTATCCCAAAGTCATTAAAATCGTTTTGGAGTAGTATATGATTTAGACAAGCAATTCCAAAGCGCAACAAAAAAAAATTGACATTTGACAAAAAACACATAACAGTTTTTAACTTAATATATACAAAATTTCTAGCTCTGAGCGTTTAAAAAATTTTGATCGGTAAAAAACAACAACAAAAAAACACAAAAAAGGTCCCTGTGAAAAGCAAGTCTCGCCTTTCCATTTTTTTTTTCAAACCAGTTATTTATTTTTGTTTTCCTATTTTGGAATTTTGTCTAGAAATTATGTATATTAAGTTTTTTTTTTCTTCTCATATTTTTTGTCTTGATTTTTGCACTTGATTTTTGATGTTTTCTTATTTTATTTCGGTGCGATTATAGAGCTAATTTTCAATACTAAAGTATGAGGCGTTTTGTCAAAAAGTTTTGTAAACAGTTTTTCCTGCACAAAATAGCAATAACTTTGGATCAACTTCTAAAGTTGAAAGTTTCTAAATATAAAATTTTTTAAACGCTCAGTGCTAGAAATTTTGTATAAGTTTTACGTTATAAAAATTACGTGTTTTTTTGTCAAACGTCAAATATTTTTCGTTGCGCTTTGGTGGTGGACAGTGGAGTGTGCATACGTTGAATGGCTTAAAAAGGTGGCTGACTTATTTAGAGAGCCTTAGATAGGCTCTTCTAGTGTAAAAACATCGACTAAGGGTATGGGTTTGGACAGGTAGTCTCGAAAATGAAAACACTTTTTTTATATTTTTTATTGACCTGAAGGACAGCATCGGAATAGGAGTTTGACAAGGCATTCTACTGATCTAGACACAGCCCCATATAACAAGAGTGTATAGTTCAAGCAGAAATTGAATATTTTCAAGAAACTCGATAATTTTGGTATTGTCAGCGTAAAGTGTTCCTTTTGATTTGATTACTTCAATCGTTGACAGGCACCTTTTAAGTTAGGAGCTACTTAAAAGTTGAAAGTTGTATGAATCAGGAAAACATGAAGATAAGAGAGAGTTCCAAAGGCTTAAAGTGCGGGGAAAAAAAACTTGGCAAATAAAAGTTTTTAGAGCATGCAGGGACAGATAGAGTAAAAGAATCAAACTCAATGACGAGTCAAGCGAGAATGAGTTTTAGTTGATAGAGCTAGAGATGATAGCTCCTTTGAACAGAGACCATGATAGTATTTGTAGAAAAGAGAAAGAGGTGCAACTTTACAACAATGGGAAAGAGGCTAAAGCTATGCAGATAGAGAGAGTCCAAGTACGTTTACAATGCGTTTTTGGACCATATTTAGAAGAGAAAGAGTATCATTAGAAAAACCAGCCTAAATATGACAACAGAATTCCATACAAGAATGAATAAAAGATTTCTAGAGAATGGAATCAGGAGAGAGAAAATGGCTAGCACAATAAATTGTATATACGGTTTTCATGAAAAATTTGAAGTTTGCCATTCAATAATTTAATAACTGAGTAAACTTTGAGATTTGCTATTCAATAATATAAGAATGTTGACAATGCTGCAATAGTTGATGACTTGATTAAAAAAGCGGTCAGAAAAAAATGATTTGATAATCCCAAAACCTATCCCAGATATACTATATGATATAGCTCTAGCCATCTAATGTACAAGTCTTTCAGTCGCAGCAGTTAGCAAGTCAACCGTAGAGTGAGAGGATCAAAACCATATTGATTGTCTGACAGTAAGTTATTTGACTCAGAATAGGATGTGAGAAACTTGTTTATTAAAGACTCAAAGATATTGCAAATAAAAGAAAGAAGGCTGATTAGACAATAATTGGAAGGGTCAGAATAATCAACGGAGTTTTTGAAAATTAGAACAACAGATGCCATTTTCCAGCAGGCATCTAAATAAGACTTATTCAAGCACTTATTAATTAGTTTATTAAATAGAAAGAATTTAATAAAGAACTTGAGAACAATTTTGTAATACTAGGACAGAAATGTTGTCTAGACCACAAGCCGTAGAAGAGTTTAATTGAGATATGGCTTTAGCAACGGAAGCTGGAGTGATTTGAATTCTAACAATGGGTTAACCTGTTTAATTGGAATTGAAGGAAGAGAATAGTCATAAGATTCAAGAGTGGATTTATAAAAAAGTTTCTTTGCAAATAGTTCTGCCTTATCCTTGGGAGACTTCATAAGATCAGTCCCATAAATGAGAGGTGTAGGCCGTTTTTCTCAAGAGAGTTGTTCTTTTGAAAAAGATAAAAAAAATAATTACAATTAGATCTAGCAACTGTACAAGAAAGTGAAAACCGTGGAGTAAAATGAGGTTAGACTGGGAACTGACGAGAAGGAATGAAAGCTTCTACTCCTGCCTGAATTCAGAAGGTTAAGTAGGAGGCGCATTTTTTAGCTGGGAGGGAAAAGACATTACCCCAAAGACCAACGCGAAAAAAATCACAAAAAGAATCTTGATCAACTTTATGGTAGTACTAAGTAATGCTATAAAAAAGTGAGTCCAAAAAAGAATTACGAGATAAAAGATTTAAAGAGATCATTGTATTGTCAGTGCCATATAAAAGAGAAAAATTGAGAAACTGAACACAATCTAGTATCAGAGACCAGACATATCAAGGAGTGATATTATATAATTAGGGTTGTCAGGAAAACAAGTCACAAAGTTCTATCTGCTATCTGAGTAAGAAAAATGCAGAAGTAATAGGCTTGAGTGCCAGCAAGGTCAGATTTTATAGTTAAAGTGTCTATTTAGTTAACAAGCTCACACTGCATCAAAACTGATTTAAACACTTAAACAGAACATTTAGACATTTAAACAGACCACATACATTCATACAGTAACTTACGGGTGAACCAACTTTGCGCCTTAAGTTCAGACTGAACCTAAACATACATATAAACACGAACAAATAGAACGCTAGCACATAGATAGCAACATTTAATAAACTTAAATTTATTGCTTAACTATCATGAAAGATTTTAAAACCTATTTTTACCCCTTAACTATTTGTCTAATTGCTAAATGCTACAGGTCTATTAAACTGTCTTATTACTTAATTTTACTGGTCCATCAAGTTTTGTAGAATCACTAAATTTTACAAGTCATTAAACTTATGTCTACTTGCTAAAAGCTACAGGCACATCAACTTATGTTTATTTAATAAAAATTTCCATCAACTTATGTTAAACTTTAAACATTGTAAGAACTTTATCCTTTATGTGGCGATATTCAAGATTTGGTTACTTTTAGTAAGTTAGTAAAGCATGGATAACCCGGACAAAATCAATGACAGTGCGGGTTTTGTAAACTGTTAGTAACTAGGTATGCAATAAAATGTATTTGTATAATTTTTTCAAAGTTTTTTATTGAGGTAGTTAGTCTCATAAATCAATAATAAATAGATTTCATAAGTGGTTATTTACTTTGAATATGTCTTCTTTTTTAAATTTGGACAAAAGCCAAGAGTTACAGTTTTTTTATATTTGAGGCATTATTGTCCTTCTAAAATAAATTAATGGGGCAATAAGCTTCATCATCAAAATTATGTTTCAAAAAAAATTTAAACCATTTCTACAAATAAATAACTTTTGTTTTAAGCTATATCTATATAATGTTTGTAAAATTAAAACATCGATTTTATTTATCTGATAATATTTGATTGTTTTAATCACCTTTTTCAACAGTTGGGGGCATTAAGTCCCTGGTAATTAAAAAATTAATTTTTATAAAGTAATTAATAATCAACAGAATGACATATCTCTTAGAAATGCTTTCAATTCAAATTCTTAAATAGAAATTCAGTTTTTAGATTTTTATTTTATAATTTTAATTTATAAACAAACCTTTAGACACTTTTTAGACACTGTTCTGCATAAATTCAAATTACCAATAATAATTACTCTACATTTTCATTTCAATTGTTTTTGATGTAATATAGATTTCTATTACCATTTTCTAATATTTTAGATTTTTTTTTAATCATATTAATTGTGTTCCTTAAGGTTATATCAGAGATTTTTTATGTATTTATTTACAAATATTTGCTTTTAAGGAAAATTGCTTCAAAAATGAATTTTGTTAAAATTTATTTCTGAAGCAAGGTTTCTAAAATAGTAAATTTAAAAAAAATTTATTGAATATCAATATGTTTAAATATATAAATGCAGACTAACAGATAGTTAAATTTATGCATATACAGAACCTGGAAATATCTGAGGTCTATTAAATATTTGAAATATTTCAAATTGCAACTAATAAAAGTATTAAAACATGTTTTAATATATACTTTTTAATATTATTTATATAAACATATAAACACATCAAAAGTAGAAATAAAAGTCATAATTAGCAGGTAGTAATAAAAAGAGGGAAAGCAAAACAAACAATGGTAATATTATTAATTGTACTAATTACAACAACAAGATCTAATAAAAAAGATAATATATCAAGAAATTACAATAAAATGTTATTATCAGGGTTTGAATAGCTTTTTTTAAATCAATATTTTACAAATTACAGTTCTACAAATATATTTATCAGTTACATGAACTTTTCTAATTTTTCGAGGTATACTTATCAATGTGATTATAAATAGAATGTTTGGGTTGAAAACTGAATTAAAATTTATTTAAACAATTAAAAAAGTTTAGAAAAGAGTTACATATTATATATAATTATAAACCTAGTCTAAACATTTTTTTGAAAAAATTCATATAGTCCTTATCAATTTTTAGAATTGAAAAATGTGAACCTAAAAGAGGCAGCTAAAAAATCACTCAAGGGTAATGTTTTTATTTTATTATTTATTTTTTTATTACTTTTAAAATTAATCATGTTATGGTGCTACAAAATAAATATTTTTTCTTATAAATTAACAAATATATTATTTTGTAGTTCTATTATGTCAGTTTCATATTTTGTCTCTATTTCATGTTTTCTTTCCATTTTGTATAACTTCATCATAGAATTTAGATAAAATTTCAACTAAAATTTAAACTTGTTTTTTCTTTCTTTATAAAACAAATTAAATTTAAATAACAACTCTTAGAATAAAAATCCAGAAACCAAAAATTATAATGCATTAGTTTTAATGTTATGTTATTTTACTATCTAATCTATGATTTTTTGGTCTTAATAACTAAATTTTTTCCTACGAGTCACTGAACAAATATTTCCAGTTGAATTAATGTTTCTGCTTTTTTGTTTTCATATTTATATTTTATCAAACACTTGAAGGTAACAAAGATGATATTATTCAGCCCATCAAATCAACAGATGGCATCAATCCACAAAAATCTTGTAAATGACTAAAATTAATACTACAAAATCTGACAATATGATTTGTTGTTTGATTGTGAAGGACATTCATGTTTCAAGTTCTCAAATTCTTACTTAATTGCCTTCTAGTTTGTTTCTTACTGCCTTCACAGTTTAACAACGTCTTGCTAAAAATAATATTTGATTGTAATTGCTGCATTAGACCCATGTCTTTCTCAAAAAAATATGATTTCCTCCTATTTTACAAGAATACAAGGGTTAAACATTTAAAATGTCATATTCCAAAATGAAGCGTAACTTAACAGTTGGTAGCAAAGTCAATATTTGCTGACTGTCAAATATACTTCAATCTCTGATAAAGTGCATCTTTTGTTAAGCAATATCCATCAATTATGATTTCAGGAGCATTCACTGTCAATGACTGTGCTGGTTTACATCATTTACAACTCTGTGAGATGGATATTTAGTTTTCAATTCAAAAGTTTTATATTTTCATGCTCAATAGGGCAACTTACCATCAAGTAAAATTCTTGCTGTGAAGACTTGATACCTAAAACAGAACCCAACCTCATGGGAAGATCGCGGAGCCTTATTTTTTAATTACAAAAATTCAGAAAATTGTTAGTCTTTTCAGAAAATTATTAATTAAAAATGACCAACTGCAACAATTACTATGGTTTTTTTCAATATCATCAGTAAAGCAGTTAATAAGTGAGAAGAAAATAACACATAGTACTCAAATGAAATGATAAAGAAAAATTTTTTTTCTGTATTAGAAAAATATAGCTTTCCGCCGAGGCCTGAGTTAGTTATTACTTAACAATATTTTATTTTTCAGATATGACCACAGACGAGTTAGTAGAAGAACTTAAAAAAGAAATAGGGTTCACTAAAAAAAGTATTTTTCATTTTTTTTTTTTTTTTCATTTTTTTTTTCTTTTTCAAACATTTTAAACTCTTTCAAAAACTCTACAGGTACCGGTACTCTCCTTTTGATTTAAAAAAAACCTTTGATTTAAAAAAAAAAATTTCTTTATTGAGATATTAGCAATAGTTTTTTTTTATTTTGAAATACAAATAGTTATTATTGTTATTATCAGATGATAAATTTGAAAATGATATGATAATTTAAGTTATATACTAATCTTACAAAAGATTACCTAATTTATTTTTACGTTTAAATAAAACTTTTGATTAAGGTATTGAAGATAATTTTAAAATCAATGTTGATGACATTGACTTGAAAAAGTCCGAGAGCTTGGAAGGTATTTTTTTTATTTATAAAGTTATATACAGTTTTTTTATATATACATCTTGTATACAGTTGTTCAGATTTAGTTACACATGTATAATTGTATATAAGTTCATAATATATAAGGATATTTTGCTTGTGCCTCTTTGATTGGCTGGCTTGAAGTAAAGTATCTTTAACACTCGGAAACACATACCCATATAAATTTGGAGTTTAAAAATGAAAAAACTTTAAATAGATATGAAAATATTGTTATCATTGTTATGATTATTTTTATAAAACCAATTTAATAATCAGAGAAAATAAAAGTATAAAAAAACACACCATGAATTATGGTTCAAAATTAACGACAAAGTCAAAAAATGTTCCTCAAAAAAAAAAACTGTACCGGGTTAAATCTTATCAAACCGCTTTTGTAAAAATAAATATAACAAGCCTATTATTATGTCTACAAAGAAAATATGTGCAAAAAATTGGAAGTTAATCTTACTTGGAAGTTAATCTTAGGCTAGTTCCACATAATATAATGCAATAGTTTGTAGAAACATGTTAGAAAAACCAAGAGTCTGTAATTATTATTATTATTTTTTTTCATCTTTCCAAATCAACTTGGTAAATTCGCTTTTGAGATGCATTAGGTAATTTTTATTATTTGTTTGAAAATTTTTACTAGTGATAAAATCTCTGAAATTTTTGTTGTCAACATCAGCACTTTAAAGCTTCTTTGTTCCATGTTCGGTTCCAGAGATAATTATGGCTTTAGTTAAAAGCTATTTTAATTTTTAGGACTAGTAATATTCTATCAGAATTATGAAAAGCTATATAGACTTAAATAGGTTGCACAAATTGTCATTATTGAGAAGTCCCAATCATCACTTGTCAAATACTATTTTGAATTTTACTAAAATTTTACATTAATGCTTCAAAGAAAATATCACAACAATCAGAAACATATTTTATTTTGTTCTTAATCTATACTTTCTTGCTTTTTCTTTTCCTTCATTCACTTCATTTCTTTTCCTTTTCTTTTCTTGATCATGCATGGCAGCGCTGTATTTTATTCATATTTTGGACTTTTTTGTAAAAATAATATATATATATATATATATATATATATATATATATATATATATATATATATATATATATATATATATATATGTATATATGTATATATATATATATATATATATGAAGATTTATGTATTGGGTACAAGATCTTTAATAGTTATTTTTTATCAAATATCTCCAGCCAAAATGGCTTTAGAAGAGACGCCGTGTTTTGAGCCTATTTCTTGCTAAACTTATGCCGGTCAATCTTATAACATTAGTTACAGATAAAATTTAGTTTCATCTGGATAAAAATTTTAGTCAACATTTAATCATATGTTTTACATTTAATGATGTCAAGTTTTAAGAATAGTTAAAAATAAGTTAGAAATAAGAATAGTTAAATAATTAAAATAAATTAGAAATAAATTAGATCTCTAGCCTTTTTCTTGATGGAAATGATGCTTTCCAACTAACAGTAGAAAAGGTTAAAACAAGCAATTTGTATAAAGTGATTGTATATTATACTAAACTAAAAATTTGTATATTAATTTAACCTGTTTTCTTAAAGACAAAAAAAAATTGATTTTTTTTTCTTTTGGTAAACAAAATTTAATTAATGTTAAAATGTATTTTTTATTTTCTATTTTAATGATTTTGTTTTATATTTCTGATTTTAATTTTTTTCATTTTTAAAAGATGCAATGTGGGCAAACACTCTATCCTTAATGGACAAAGAGTTGGCTGACTCAACACTAAAACGAAATGTTGATGGTTTGTTCTTTATATATATATATATATATATATATATATATATATATATATATATATATATATATATATATATATATATATATATATACATATATGTATATATATATATATATATATATATATATATATATATATATATATATATATATATATATGTATATATATATATATATATATATATATATATATATATATATATATATATATATATATATATATATTTCTTTTGTAAATACAATTGTTATCATAAATTTAAGTTTAACAAAAAGAAATAGTTTTTAAAACAGCTTATATCAGAATTATTATTAAAGTAGGATTGAATCCTATCAGAAATAAAATATTATGGTGATGATGGCAGAGTCCTGTATCAAAGGTTTAATCACAATATTAGTCTATATAATACTTGGTTTAAAAACAATTGTAAACTTTTATTATTTTATATATACAAATATTTAAACTTATTAAAAAATGGTTTAATTTTATAATTAAATGATATCTTTAGGCTCTTTTTTTTTTCAACAGGACAAAAATGTGAAGATCTTGTTGACTGTAATCCATATAAAAAGTTTTGTGACACTGCTGAGTATAAACCTATATTAACTAAGAGATGTCCAAAATTCTGTGGTTATTGTCATGCAGGTACCACAATTGGTAGGTATTTAATAATCAAATATTAATAAGTGTTGAACTGACTTTATTGAAATTCTGGCATTAAGATTCCTTAGATTTTTGACTTAAACTGCTCTTTAATCAAAACCTGTAGTTGAAGAAGTTGAATGTAAAGATAACCCTTCAGCTCAGTGTAAAGCTTTAGAAAAGAATTGTTTTAAGGATCCTCGAGTACCAAAATTTTGTCCTAAGACATGTGGAATGTGTCGTGCAGAAGCACCACCAAAATGTTCACAAAGTGAGTTCGGCTGTTGCTGGGATAAAGAAACAACAAAGTTAGATGTCGAGGGGAAAAACTGCCCTGGTAAATAACAGTTTTTGTTTAAAGTTTTTACAATATGGTTTTAAAGTTAAAATTTTTACAATATTTAAAGTTTTTTGCAATTTAATTAAGTCAGTTCTAGTCATTATAGCAGCAGTTTCAGGTAGTTTAAAGAGAGATGCATTTCACAGTTCGCAAGTTTTTATTTTTCTAAGTAAATATTCTCAGATTAAATCATTAGTCATAACATCACCTTCATTTGATTAAGTCATTGGTCATAACATCACCTTTATTTGATTTTCTGATTAAGTCATTGATCATAATATCAAATTTGATTCGCAAAGACAATTTTTTCCCCAATATATCCGGAATTTAAGGTATTTTAAGTTCGTTCCGAAATTCAAGTTAAAAAATAAATCTGTTTAAATAAATAAAAACTTTTTTGAATGTTACTTATTATCAAAGAATAGAAATTAAAAGAAAAAAAAATATTTTTCAATTTTAAAATAATGACAATTAATATTCAAAAAATATTATAAGATAAAAATTATTTTAAAGATAAGTAAAGCATAAAAATAAGTAAAGAACTTTATTTCACTATTTTCACTCGTTAATTTTCACGGTTGATTGCTTGCATTGAAAAAAAAATAACTTTCAAAACAACAACTTACAACAGTTCAAAATTTTACAACGATCGAAACTAATAAAAGAAGCAGAGTATTCTACAATATCTATTAAAGGAATACAATATTTACAAACTAAAACATAATCTTTTCGAACCCATTAATTTGCTTAGCCTGGTTTACATTACGGAAAGTTTGTTTTGACGAGTCATATCTCCATATCATCAATCTAATCTCTGTATCAATACGAGACATATCTTCAAATATAAACCATATCAACAGTTCATGATCATATTATCAACACAACGTTTTTTTCTGTTAATAAACTTTATATCACAATAAATACTATCCATTTTACTTTTTTCATTTAAACAAATTATAGAATGTGAAAACGTATACAATAGTGCTTGCCAAATGTTTAAAGCTGAATGTAACAGTCTTCTCGAGCCTGGTGTGTTTATGAGAAAAAATTGTCCAAAAACCTGTGATCTCTGTAGTAAGTTTTATTTTTATTGTTTTTGTTAAAGTTGTTTAGATCAGGGTAATAAACTTCTGTTTCAATGTTTTTGAAAAAAATAACAAAAGTAGAAAATAATATAAAGCCAAGTAAAATAAAAAAACCAAGCAAAAAAATCGTTTTATTTTTAGGTGACGAATGTAAAGATAGCGCCAAACAATCTTTCTATTGTGCTTTTTGGAAAAACGAGTTAAAATGGTGCGAATCGAAAAAAGACATTATGAAACACTATTGCCCTAAAACATGCAACTTTTGTTAAGTTGGTGTCGATAGTTTTTCTTTTTTTTTTTTCTTGTTTCTTTAAGTTAAAATTTTCTTGCATGGGTACTTTTTTTTAAAAAATATTTTTATTAAAAATGTAAAAACGACTTATTTGTATATAATATGTTTTAAGTTTTTTTTACAGCCGGGGATAAGGCTTTCGTCATTTTTATTGGAGATTTAAACAGTTTTGTGCTTTATTTGTAATATTATTAGAAAATAATTACTCTATATAGCGTCATGTTTTTTTTTGTTTTTGTTTTTCTGAAAAAATAATATATACAAGGTAAATTTACATTAAATATATTATTGGAAGGATTTCTAAAAGATCACAGGATCTTATCATAATCGCCTTTTCAATCTATATCACAAAAATACAATATTCTTTATAATCTATTTAATCAAATAAAATTAAGTATAAATAAAAACGATTATAAAATTACGGATAAAAAAGATATCCGATTTGTTGTATCGGAAGTTAATGACAATCTTTTGTTTTTAATTTCATCAATTGAAGAACTTGAATTGAAATCAATTTTATGAAAATTGGATTTATGTTATTTTTTGGTTACTTATATATAAGCCCATTAAATGATTCTTGTTAAATGTTTCTTTAAAAACTATGTCCTTCAAATTGACTATGAAAAAAGGTACTTTTGAAAAACATCAATAGTTTAAATGCTCTTCTGAAAAAAAAATCGAGTGTGACATTTGAGGTTTTTATTACAAGGTCTTCAATTATATTAAAAAGTATTTAATGTCTTCATGTGACTAAAATAAATTCGTATCGTCCGCAAAAATTATGTTCTTTAAATTAGAAGATTTATAAAAACTATATATATTAAAAACAAGAGTATCCCAAGTATGAATTTTTAAGAAACACATTATGTTATATTCGTTAAAAATTGTGACAAAAATTCATTGTTATAAACCACTTGCTTAAAATTACTAAGATAACCTTTAAAAAATTTTAATTAAATTTACACATACGATAACTTTCCATCTTTTGCAATAGAATATGCTAATTAACAGTATCAAAGCTTTTGACAAATTGAATAGTATGTAGGTATTTAAAGAAACGCATGTCTTCAAACTATGTATTTAAAACTGTGTTGGTTGAACTTTGAAATTTTAAATTTTTTTCTTAATAAAAAACTTTGAAATGCTTCTTTTTAAAAATAAATAGATTTTGTAAACAGTTTCTTGGTGCCATAATGTATAATTCATTTTAAATTTAAAATAGTCAAATGTTTCGTGAAAAGATGACATTTCTTTAAAAAAAATACAATATCACTGAATATTGTAAGATTGTAGCTAAAAGAAAAATTTGTTTTGATTTTAATAAGTGCAGTACTGTGGACCAGAGTGACTGACAAAGCAAGTTATTCCCCAGGTCTGATTTTTTTTCCTAATAGTTAGATATATGTTAGTAAACATTTTTATGGTATTATTAACTTCTGGGGGGTTGGACAAAGTAATAAAATTGTTGCGTAGAAATTAGGTTTTTTAAATCATAAAAATGTTTATGAATTTTTGACAAAAATCGACTGAAAAGCCGCAATTTTGATCAATTGTGTAAATAATTATGGCTTGTTTAAATAAGAGGTGTGCTGTTTATCTCACACAGTTTGATTAAAGTCTTCTAAAACTTAAAAGATTACTCCTGCAATTGAAACAATGATTAAAACCTTATAATGAATAAATACTTCAGTTTTATTGACATAGATAAACTTTAACTAAAAATATGGAATAAAGAAATCTAAAGGTCTCATAATAATATGAATGTGTTATTAAAAAATCTTTCAGTTTTCTCAATGCATCCATGAACTTAAATTTATATTTAAATATATTGGTATGTATATACAAGTGTTTATTAATAAACATATACTTGTAGTATAAGTATGATATAGACTGAGACATTTAAGTATATTGTTAATGTATGAAATTATTTAAACATGTATTGTAAGAGTTATACATTACACAAATATACACATACAATATATTTAAGATTTTTAATAAATGTCATACTTATCTGTACATTTAAGTGTGATGAGATTACATAGGTTAAATAGACTAAAGCTGAAGGAAATTTTTTGGAAGCTTATTGAGCCTCTGAAATTATCATAATAATTATGGTTAAAATATTACGATCATTAATGCACAAGTTCAGCGTTCAGAATAAGTAGTTATACTAGGAAGTAAAGTTGTTTTTGTTGTGAAAGATCTTGCACTTTGAAACCTGGCAAGAAGAGAACTCTTAGACAAACACTATAGTAACTTTCCTCTTGATTGAAAGAATTTAAATATGTCACACTTTAAAAATGTTATAAACATAAGATTTTTGTACAAAAAAGAAAATCTTGAAACTCATCTTGAGCAGTTAATTCTTGCTCCTGAGCTCAATATTCTAATGGAAATATAAGCAAACTTTCAGTGCTAATCCTCAGCTTATAGCCTTTGTTTGAGAAGTGGTTTGAACACAAATTGCATCATGTTTTGAGGGTATTATGGTGTAGTATTTGATGAAAATATTGCAAGCATGTATATAAAATTGGTGGACATACTTAAGAGAAATATTAATTATAATGAAAAATAAAACTTATTTCTAGTTTTAAACTATCTTAGAAATTTAAAATTCCCTTTAAAAAGCAGAAGTCTTATGCCTAATACCTGAAGATAACATTGTAACTGCTGTTTGGGACGCTAAATATTGTGAGTTCAAAAATGCATGGAATAGATAAAAATGTAGAATTTACCATATAATTTATAAAAAACAGCTAAAATCCAGTGGTGTGGAATAAATATGCATATATATATATATATATATATATATATATATATATATATATATATATATATATATATATATATATATATATATATATATATATATATATATATATATATATATATACATACATATATATATATATATATATATATATATATATATATATATATATATATATATATATATATATATATATATGTATATATATATATATATATATATATATATATATATATATATATATATATATATATATATATATATATATATATATATATATATATATATATATACAGTGGCGAGGCTACTATGTTTAACCCCCCTCCTTTTTTTTTTTCCATGAAAAATTACTAAAAAAAAAGGCTTTTTAAATTTGCAAAAGAACACCTAAACTTGCCAACACCCTAGAGCTCAGGAACAGAAGCAAAGTATTCAAGATGAGTTTCTTGCTTTTCTTCCTGCTTGTATAAATTTCTCACATGTATAAACAACTTTACTTCCTACCATAGCTACTAATCCAGAACACTGAACTTATGCATTTATAATTAAATTAAACATAATACACTTCATCATGTTGTTTCAGAGGTTCAGTTGCTTCGAAAAAAAAAAGTTAACTTTAGTCTATTTATCCTATGTAATTTCATCACACTTAAATGAACAGATAAGTATGACATACATTAAGTATATTGTATGTGTTGATTTGTGTAATGTATAACTCTTACAATACATGTTTATATATGTACATACATTAACAATATACTTAAATGTCTCAGCCTATATCATACTTATACCATAAGTATACGTTTATTAATAAAGACTTGTATATACATACCAATGAATTTGAATATACATTTAAGTTCATGATGTGCATTAAGAAAACTATAAGATTTTTTTAATAATATATAGATGTAATTATAAAACTTTTAGTTTTCTTAATTCATTTTTTTAGTTAAGAAAGTGTATGTATATCAAAAAAACAGCAACATATTTTTAAGAAAGTAAATATAATAATAAAAAGTATATACAAATTAAGATTAACCAAAACAAAATTTTATAGTGGATCCATCTTGGTGTTATTAGTTTTATTTTATTATTATATAGTTTTATTATTATATAGTTTTATTATTATATAGTTTTATTATTATATAGTTTTATTATTATATAGTTTTACTATTATATAGTTTTATTATTATATAGTTTTACTATTATATAGTTTTATTATTATATAGTTTTATTATTATATAGTTTTATTATTATATAGTTTTATTTTATTATTATATAGTTTTATTTTATTATTATATAGTTTTATTTTATTATTATATAGTTTTATTATTATATAGTTTTAGGATGGTTGGTTATCTATAAACTTTACTCATTCCAGACAAAGTTTTAATCGTTGTTGCATTTGCAGGAGTAATCTTTTGAGTTTTAGATGACTTTAATCAAACTGTGTGAGACACGTTTTATATAAACAAGCTGCAACGATTTTTGTCAAAAATTTATAAACACTTTTATGATTTTAAAAACTTAATTTTAAACAACAATTTTATTACTTTGTCCAACCAATATTTGACTGTAGCCACAAAAAATGTTATTTAAAAAGTTTAATATTTGTTTTCAACTTGAATTAAGCTATTTAATATAATTAACTGAGTGAAAAATATGCTATTAATAGGATATAATAAATTATAAATAATAATCATTTATATTAAAAGTATAAAATGCAGTTTTTTATATCGTAAAATAATAGGAAAGTGTAATATGCAATTTTAAAAATTAATAACGTAAAAAATAAAAAATTTTATATTATAGACCCTTCTTAGATTTTTAATCTAAGAAGGGTCTATAATATAAAGAGTTTCACTTTATGATGTTTTTTTCTAAAAACTGAATTGCTTGATGAATTAAAGTTTAATTCATATAATTTCAAAATAATTAAAAGTTGAAAGAATTTTAGATTTGTTGCACCATATAATGGTTTCACTATTTTCGTTGTTAGGACATCGGTCATACAAAATATCTCAAAATTTAATGTGGATTTTATGACGAATTTACCGGGTTTTGCAAGCATTTAAAACAAACATGATATCTATTTAAAACATCGTGACAATCAATTTAAAACAATCGTGATTTTTAGTTAAAATGTTTAACGCATGCGCAATCTAAACATTATTATTCACAAAAAAAAAGATTTCATTGATATATTCATTTATTAAATATTATTTAAACTTATTTTTATTAATATTATACTCATTTATTTTATTTTTAAATGGATGCGAAACCCGATATAAATCATATACAGGGTTTTGCATCCATTTAAAACAAATATGATATCTATTTAAAATTAAAATAAATTCCATTAATATAAAATAAATCAATATAATGATAATAAAAATAAATTTAAATAATATTTAATAAATAAGTATACAAAAAAAACCTTTTTTT